GTTGCTACTTGTGCAGGCAGCCTGGTAATGTGAGTGCCAAAACGCACTGTCTTTGCCTTAAAGTCTCTAACAGCTGCAGACCAGCACAAAATGCACGGCAAAATAAACAGACCTCTGCAGGAATTATTCTGAACCCAAGGGGTTAACAATGCCGAGAGTCTGAGCTAGCCCAGTGCCCTGTCATCTCTATGCATTTTGAACTGTCTCACTTTGGGAGATATACTTCATCAAATGCTACGGTCGCAGAAAGCTCAGAGCACCACTCAAAGTCGGAAGCAAAGGGCCATTTTATATTGATTTCTCTCTTTCCACATTTGCCGTTTCAATAAACAAGCCTGCATTACAATGCATTAGATTTTTAACCCTCGTGGTGCGCCAGCCAGGTATGGGGAGCGGCGGCTGCACAGGTCGGAGAGGGAAGTTTTTGATATTTCAGAGAAATACACACTGCGTAGGTCACAGTCTACCAGTGCCATTTTGAGTACGTGGGGGTGGGGCCAACGGGGCGGGAGAGGGACACGGGAGGGTGAGTGCTGGCTTGGCCGATGGCTGAGGGAGATTTACATTTCAGAGAAATAAACACTGCAGAGCTTAAATTCTCCACCATGGATCATGTTATTATGAGCCGGGGAAAGGGGAAGGAGAGGACGATAAAATCTGAGCAGGTTCAGGCTCCTAGCTCACAACTGCCCAAAACGGCCGCAGCCACTGGGTCTTGGAACAAAAGTTGTTTAACCCCCTGTAAAAGAGCCCCCCGCATTTTTTCTCCCCAATAGTGGGAGTCCCTGGCCACGCCTATTGTCCTTGCAAGAGGAACCCCGCCCTTTGCGACTCTTCTTGTGTCTCTTCTGCTGGGGGAATTGAAAGGAAAATAAACGTTCCAGTGCCCCCAAGAATAACTTCTTCCCGGAGCCAAGTCACATGGAAAAGCCCAGCAGCGTCGTCTTACTCCGGGGCTGTCTGCGTGGCGCTGTTCTAGGAGTCCTTCTGGCTGGGTAGCTGAATCAGGCTCACTATCCTGGGAGTTCGCGGCACTCCCTGTAGGGCTGGGGTGGAGATCTCCTGGATGGGAATTCCCCCTGCGGCTTTGGGAGTCGTTCAGGGTGATCTCTCCCCTGCCCCCCGATCAGTTGACAGAGCCAGGTCGGTAGTCAGGATGGCTTTGGCGATCAACTGTAGTACTGCAGAAACATGGTGGAGAAGGCTGTCCCAAACTGGGCTATATGTGACTCTCTCATCCAAATTAGCCATGGAGTACTGCCCACGTGGAAGGAGTACGTGAGCCATTAATCTCTGAAAGGTTGCCACTGCCCCTGCCACCCAAACGGCATTGTTGGAAAATTGTTGGTGCAGTCCAAAGGGCGTGGCAAACACGGTCTTTTCCCTGGATCCCGGCATCAAAGGGGATCTGCCAACCCCAGGGGGCGGGGAGGGAGCGCCACCTAGCCTCATTCTGCCCCGAGACCAGCTCCAACCCCAGCCACAGCTCTGCTCCAACCCCAAAGTAGTTCTGCCTCATTCCCTCTCCACCCCCAGCCCAGCTCCACTCCGCCCCCTGCTCTGCCCCCAGACCAGCTCCGCCCCCAGCCGCAGCTCCACTCTGCCCCCTGCTCTGCCCCCAGACCACCTCCGCCTCAGCCATAGCTCCACTCCACCCCCTGCTCCGCCCCCAGACACAGCTCCACTCCGCCCCCTGCTCTGCCAACAGACCAGCTCCGCCCCC